CTTTATATAAATTGCATGTCTTCATAGTATAAAATATCAACAATGGATGTATTATAAACTAGTATTAATGCTTAACCAGTCTAAGAGAATAATACTAGAATATCAGGAAAAAAAGTTGCTATTTTCTCGTGAGTAGGATTTCGAGACTACCAGTAAATCGGATATCTATGTGTTGTATTCACCCTATTTCCCTTAAGGGCTGGTAGTTGATTTTTCCCACAATGATATGAGTACAACTGGCATTTCCTTTGAATTTCGCAGATCCTTGCTTTCCCAAAAGGTGTTCTCATCTAGGGTGGACTCTAGTTCTGACCTCGCATAGGTCTTATCGAAACATCAAGCGGGAGTCTAACCATGACAGTGCATGTAAGGTCGACACGTTAATCACTGCGCCACATTACCACGAGTGCCTTTAGGTCATAGGGCAGATGTGTAGTTTAAGGAACGCCAGGCATTTTCCAAATCCCTTTTTGTGTTAGGATTATCAATTAAGCAAACTTATATATGCTATAGAAATCACGACATTACTTTTGTCGTAAATGAGTAGGGTCCCGATACTACAAGTAAATCAGATATATGAGTTCTATTCATCCTATTTCGTTATGACGGTTATGAAAGCAATAAATAGCACGGCGAAATTTACCAGAAGACATTGGCTTATTCTTAATGAATTTTAAGCGCATAATTTGTTTGTGGCTCATATATCTAATTTACTGGTAGTCTCGAGGCCCTACTCACTTACAAAAAAGTAATGCCGTCGATTGCTATTGCAAATATAAGTTTGCTTCATCGACAATCCAAACAAAGAATGTGATATGGAAAATACCTGACATTCCTTGAAATGCACATCTGCCCTGTGACCTAAGGGCAATCGTGGCAATGTGGCCGAGTGGTTAACGTGTCAAGCTAACATGCTGTTCTTTCACGATTCGACTCCCGTTTGGGGTGTTGATAAGACCTAAGCGAGATCGAAACTCCAGTCCACCCTTGATAAGAAAAACTTTTGGGAAAGCAAGGCTGTGAAATTCAATGGAAAAGTCAACTCTACTTATATCATTGTGGGAAAATTCTACTACCAGTCCTTCATCACCTTGAACGAAATAGGATGAATAAATCTCATATAACTGATTTACTGGTAGTCTCGAAACTGCTTATATACGAAATGTATGAATACTTTAGATGTAAATAGCCTTCAGGGCCATCAATAATTCTTGAATACGAATGTAGTGACCCTAGGTCCCTTACTATCAGTTAGGGAGTGAAGGTTGAGTTTTTCCACAAGCAAATGAGAAGGCCACATGATTCCACTGAGTTTCACTTTGCTTTGCTTGTCAAAAGCCTAGGCGAAATCGAAGCTGCAGTCCACCCTGAATAAAATGATGTCATGGGAGGTAAAGTTAAGTAAAATTCAATAGCATTGTGAGGCCCAATCATCGGATAGTCGGAAAACTCAACTTCCATTCCTTAAATCGTATTAGGTGGAATAAGGCAACTCCAATTAGTTTAAGAAAAATGCTAATAATAAATTAAAATGAGTTTATTCATAAAATGTCTGACTACTTCACAGTTATAAATTTCTAAATATAAAGAAGTGTGAAAAAATATGAAATGTAGCAAACCTTTCATCGCAAAAGGTTCTGCTCTCCATTTTGACAATGTCGGACTCGCTAAAATAGATGAAAGAATTGTTGAAAAAAAATGGAGCAAACTAGAAGGCCAATATAAAAGTAAAGACTGTGCTGAATGTAGACTAAAATATAAAGCTTGAATATCCTACAATAAATAAGTTGACAATATAATTACCAAGATCGTATAACTTTTGGTTTCGCCGAAGCATTATTTTGCTCTCTATAGTCGATTAGACTTTTCGCAATTTGCATGCGTCGATACTTGAAATACATGGAAATAATGGTAGGGGACGCAATATAATGTAGTAACTCCGAAATCTCACTATAAATACTACTAATTTGAGAATATACGGTCAAAGAAACTATTTCCTGCAAAACCATTTACAAGAGAAATTCAATAAAATGTATGGATATATGTTAAAAATTCATCGCAGCTCATTTATAACCATTTTTAGTTGGTTTAAAGCCCATCCGCAGATCTTTAATGTGAGTTTTAGTCATCTATGTCACATAAGTTGATGCAAGACTTGCGGTTTAATTTCCTACAACGATATGAGTAAGCCTAATATTTCCATTAAATTTCACTTAGCCTTGTCTGCCAAAAGAGTATCTCATCCAAGGTGTACTGGAGTTTCAATCTAGCCTGGCTTTCATCAGCACCCTCAGCGGGACTGGAACCCAGGTAGTACAGCATATAATTTCGATGTTACCACCACGTCACACTGACACGGATTCCAGTGGACAATAGGGCATAACTGAATTTTAAGATAGACCATATCTCTCCAATATAACATTTGAAGTGAGTTTCGTTAAGAAAAATTTGTATTTGGCAATTAATATTTGAAAAGATTGTCAGAAGCTTAAATAAATTTGAAGACTACTTGAAATAAACAAATTAAGAGGTCGACTGTGATGACAAAATATTAATTTGCTTCATCAGCAATCCCACTATAAATGTAATATTGGAGAAGCTTGGTTTATCTTGAAATTAATGTCTGCCCTGTGACCTACTAGCCATTCGGCAGTAAGGCGTAATGCCGTAAGCTTAAGACAATATCGTAATTATATGCTGCATTACCCTGGTTTGAGCCCAGTTTGGACCCAGGAGAAGTCGATAATCTAGTCCAGCCAGGACAACAATACCTTTTTGGAAGCGGGGCCAAGTAAAATTCAATGACATCATGAGGCCTACTAGTATACTTGTACGAAAATTTTACTATCACCTTAAGTAGCCTAGGGTGACTATAAATCTAGCGTATAGTCCACATATCTTCAGTGAGCACATCTAATCATATCCGCAAACATTTAAGAGACAAATTTGTAACCAAGACGTGAAGGAATGGACTACGAATTTAATAATCAATGTATGGACAAAGAAAATATGTTAATACTCTAGTAAGTAGAGAAAGTGTGAGGTTTGTCATTAATCTTTCTGCTTTTACCGAAAATCTGGTTTTGGACGTGAAACAAGAAGGAAGGCCATTTAGAAGTTTAGATAATTTTTCTCATATTTTCTTATAAAACCGAGATTTCCTAAATAAGTTCGCAATCTTTAATAAAATAGATACACTTTTCCGAATAAGCAACCAGAAAAAGCGAAGAACAAAAGATAAAATAATGAACAATTCTATGGAATATCAATAAATATGCACAAAACCTATGATTTTTGTTCATAAGGAATGAAGGCTTTCGTTCAAAGATATGCATATTTCTCGCCTATAAAGTTGGAAATGCCCGGGATCTTATAATTTTTCAAATCTGTGAAGCGAAGTAACGAAATAGTAGCATCAGGTCCCATTTATAAAGGTCAAGGACACATTAGAAAAATTAAAATGGACAGCAACTTACATTTGACGAAAGAAAACGACTACAGGTAAAACGAGGCGTTGATCCATCCAATGAATATGTTCAAAAACCAAGTTTACGCGATCCTGACATAATTCAGTCACGGTGACATTAAGTTTTAAAGCTTTACCTGGATGCAATGCATAAAATTAAGGTAGATAATAGCGACAAATTAAAAATTAATCCTAGTCTAGAACAGCAGATAAAGAATATGTGGCAATCATTTGGTATATAAGTATTTTTAAAAGGTAAGAACTGAAATGTGGTTACTCATAATGAAACTATATGACAAAGTAATCAGTGTATCTTAAGTAACTTAAATAAGATTATCAAATTTTAAAACTAGTCGAAA